TGGAGGTGCTTCTCCTCGACTGCCCCAATCAACGAAGCCCCTTCTTTCCTTCCTATTTCTAGGGGAAGGATGTGCTTGTTCTTACTCATGTTCTTTCCGAACAAATCTTTGCACTGAGCGGACCCTATTAGTAAGGTCCTACCCTATTCGGTCGAAGACTCTGATTGATCTTTGTGCTTCATATTCTTGAGGGAAATTATCTCCCAATCGTGATTCTGCTGGCTAGCTCCCTTACACATAGGATGTGGCTTTCGCACCCACTTCTCTTTCGAGGGCGTTCTCTGTGATGGCTCACATGGTCTTGGGAATGAGATGCAGGGGCTTCCTGAGTTGGGTAAGATCCTTGGGGCATTTGAGAGCCCTCGTGTCCTCGGGCTTGCATGAGGAGTTCATGCATCGCCATATTCTGAGTTGCGATGTCTCTCATGTCCGCAACTATTTAGTAAGCATGATTGTTCTTTCGCCTCGGCGATGCCGGTGATGGGGTCTCTAATGAGTGACATTGTTACGGAGCACCTCTTCTTCAGAGGCCTCTCTCATAGGATTGTTGTCTTCATAGTTGGAACTCATCTTATCTCCTTTTTTAAGGGTGATGAGAACTTGGATTATAAGTAGACTTTGCTCTTTTTCAAGAACGTGCCCTTTTTAGGGTAAGTCGCTAGTTTTTCAGTGGAGAATGCAGAACTTTGGATGGGAAAGTTTCCTACAGATGGCACCAATCTATTGACCTCGCAAATTGGACCCTCCATGTGGCCAATCGATAGCTACTCCACGTATTCCTCCCTGCGCACAGTCAACACACGGTCAAATGTACAGGGCTGGAACCAGCGGGGGTGGTGACGACCGCATACACTCCAATGGTCAAGTTAGCCTCAGGTGATCAGAACAATATCAAGGCTGTGCAAAATAGTGGGAAGGAGACTATATATTTGCTTGTTATGGAGAGCTATGTTGTAAGAGTTTCATTACCTTTGACTCTTGTCAAACCTTGGGTATTTATAGGTGAGGAGAACCGTTGGATATGGGACTCTAAGCAAGAACCTCATCAAATCCGATTGCTTCTTCTTGTACAGCTCCGATATATAAGTATACGTCCCTGCAAATTCATGCAACCAATCAAATAATTTCCTTAGAAACTGCATATGCAAAATACATAAATGATCAATGATTCCATGAATTCATTACCCATTGTTGTGGGTGGTGTGCCTGATACTCTCTCCACTTCGGCTGAAATGAGGGCTATACCAGAGACCGAGAATGGATTAGGGTTTCAGTGACTATGTTTATAGGATGTGAAGGAATTGGACCGGGCCTTGATAGCCTCATCTTGTGGTTAAAATTTCGGGGAATTCTACAAATAGCACTAATTTGGACAAAAACTTTTGTGGCACTCTTATCGTCTAGTTCAATTTTATCTTTATCGTTTATTTATTTTTAAACTTGGATTCTGCTTTGATGACAAAATGATTAGAGAATATATTATGCTAGTAGTGTTGTTTCCCTTCGAGTGGCCTAAAACTTGTCAAAAGGTGGTTAGGAATATTTCTTCGACAATCACTCTGAATGAAAACTGGTTGTTAGTAAATTAAAGTACTGTGACATAATTACACCTAATTGATATTCAATGACTTGATTGAAGTATGATAAAGTTCAGTGACCTCTAGTATAATTTTAGATGAGCTTGAGAGAAATTAGCAAATACATTGATATGCGGTTAGTTTTGATAGATACATCAGTAGTATCAGTGATGAAACCCAAACAGAGTAACCTAATTGTTGATAACTTAAAATATAGTGATCCAATTGCACCAAATTAAAATTCAGCAATCAAATTATGAGTATGGTGAAAACTCATTGGCCTTTTGTTCAATTTACCCTTTACTGTATCTGTTGACCTCGCATATTGGACCATCCACGTGACCAACTAATAGCTACTCCACGTATTCCTCCCTGCGCACTGTCAACGCACGGTCAGATGTACACGGTCGGAACCAGCGAGGGTGGTGGCGACCGCATATACTCCGACGGTCAAGTTAGCCTCAAGTGATTGGAACAATACCGAGATTATCCGAAATAGTGGGGAGGAGAATATATATTTGCTTGTTATAGAGAGTTATGTTGTAAGAGTTTCATTACATTTGCCTCTTGTTAAATCTTGGGTATTTATAGGTGAGGAGAGTCGTTGGATGTGGGACGTGTATGCAACTGACGGTGTGAGGCGTCTGTTTATAGGCGTCAGTCAGTCGCGTTTATAGAGTGGGTGGGTAATTACTTCTCCCGAATTGAGTTGACATAAAGTTGATATGTCACATCATGGTGACGTCAAATCAATTGAATCTTGGGGGCAAAAATGATCTTGACATAGATCTTTTTCTGAAATTGGGGGCAGATCCTCTGACAGAGAATCTCGGAATGTACTGCGCCTCGGCTTCAGGGGTGAGGACGTTGCGGTCGGTTCAGTAGATAGTCTGTGTCTCGCAGTGCGTTAGCAGATCGACATTGGTGGTGGCGTAACTTCGGAACAATTTCGGATGGGTGTTGAACACCTCGTATAAGGCGGTGGTAGACTTTTTGAAGTGGTTCAGATAGGGGCAGAACAGTATCTTTGAATTTGCTTAGATACTTGCACATTATTTTTGAACATTGTGGATGACGCTAGAGGTCACTTAAATATCCGTAACAACACAGCCTCATTGAAGGACTCATTTTATTATACTACGTCCAAATTCTTCATATCTATAAATTTTTACCTTGAATATGTAAAAACTGATTTGCATTAAAATCTGAACTGATTATCCCAATCGAGCTAAGGGCATACTGAGTTTGATTTTCATGAACACCAAAGCAAAAATCACGCATCTGATGACAAGATCACCGAGCTTGTGAACGATATGTTCGAGCCACGAGAAAGGGAGAAGTTGAGGGGGTCTATTGATCCTGTGAAGGAAATGCTGAAAACTTTGATCATGGTCCTGTAAGTAGTGGGTGTATCTCGAACCCAGATTGCATTATCACAATTCTCCGAGATGAAGTGTGACACAAGTTAATGGATTTTTACTAGAAATTAAGTTTTTTACTTTAATAAAATGTATTTTGGGATCAAATATGACCACTGTTTGTTGTGTGTACAGATTATAAAAGTCTCCACATTGAATGAAAAAGTTGGGTCACGTTTTTAATTATCTAAAAGAGTCATCTTTGAAGAATAATATTATTTATCATTAATAGCGATGAGCCGATGGATCAACAATAGTGTAATTGATGGTAAGTTTTCTGATTTTATCGGACAAAATCAGGGGTATCATTTTCACGTGAGTCTACTGATCATCACCACATTAGTAGCGTTATTCAACATTGAATGATGTTTGCGTTGTACATTAATTTGAGAAACGGAAGAAATGAAAAAGAAAACTCAAGATTGCGAGCAAGTAGAGTACTACGTTCAAATTTATTTTAGATACAAGTAGATAGAAGCTCTCACTCACAAGAAATTAAAAAAAAGGGGGAAGTCTCACCACATCTCTCTCCCAAAAGCAAAAGATAATAATAAGCTCACACTTTTCTTGCCTTTGGGCCTTCCAAATTACTCCGAAGCTGACCCAATGGGCTTACCCTTAGCCACAACAAAAGGCCCAGATTTCAACTGGTCAACCAATCCACACCCATCAAGGACCGTCGTCAATTGATAGGGCGGCGTATCGTTGGCCAACCATTGATCCACGTAGAAAATGGATTGGCTGCAGCCTCTATGAGGCCCAGTAGAAGTCACCTGAACATATTCACAAAACCAACCATGATGGGCCCCCGATCCATCAGATGTCAAATTGAGCTTGCAAATAGGTGATTCAATACATGGGCCTCGACCAGTGAAAATGTCCAAATTACCCCTTTCGAAATAGTCATGGTTTCGGCCCATCAGGCCCCATTTCTTCAAATTAGGAATCGAAACAGATTTTCCTTTGGGATCGCCCAACACGACACTGATTTTGGAGTCTGTTCCGGCCCTTACGACTGAGCCTGTTTGAACGTAGAGTGTGTATACACACTTATGCTGCAAATTTCAACACAAAAATTCATATAAATAAACGAAAATTGATACGAATTTGTGAAAATGGTTAATCAAATTTATTAGATTCGCTCGATCTAAATGTTACGTAAAGAATCCACAATTCTAGCTCCTGTTAATTAGATCACGACTCAGTAATTCGAAGTACGAAAAGGATGAGGTTTTGAACTTACAGATGAATCGGCAGCAAGAGCTGAGAGGAAGAAAGTGAGTAAAATCAGTGAGAAGAGTTGGCGTTTGAGACTCATCATTTGCACCTACTACACTATCAGAATTGCTGTAATATGGTAGTATTTATAGACTTGTCCGGAATAATTAAAAATAAAAATCCTCCAACTTTTTTTCTCATGTATCACGTTAAGAATTAAAGTATTCAACTTTTTTGCTGTAAAGTAAGGGATACAATTTTATAAATTATTTTTTTTGCTAAACTTTTTCAGGTTTACAACTTCGAGAATGAAAAGGTAACAATTTTAACTTGCTTTTTTCTATAGAGGGGGCACGTGAAAGAGTGTGAAAGTCATGGGATAATCTTGAACTTGAAAAAACAAAAATTAAAATCTTCTGTTTGACAATTATTATTTAAAAAAATAAAATTTTAAATAGTAATTTTTAAGAAAAAATTAGTTAAAAAATAAAAAAAAATTAATTTACGTACAAAATATTTTATTATATAATTTTGCCATTCAAAATAAACATGCAAAGAGAAAAGAGAGTTTTGAGAATAGTAATTGTTAAAAGGGGACAAACTGATAAACATTATTTGCGCATTCGAGAAATTCGCCACTTGACTGAAAATTTGTCAAGGGAAAATGTTCAGTTCCATTATTTAATTTGCCAGCCTCGTGAGTCATGCTCAAGTGAACCATAAGAACATGCCACGTACAAACAGAGTTGGTAATAGATAAGGGTTACAACTTTAAATGCACCAACAGCAATTATGTCCCAATGTTACAATCATTATCTAAAACCTCCTTATGGCCCTGTTTAAGTTCCATTAATTTTTTATATTATATTATGAAATGGTAAATGGATGAAAATGTGTAGTTAAAAAAAATTTTGATTATGTATAATATTATTTTAATGAAGAATCCATAATTAAAAATGAGTACTGGGTTCAAATAGGTGTTATATATTTATTTTCAATCAAATTATAAAATATTTTGCACGTAAACTTCAAAAACATTATTTTAAAAATCATTATTCAAAAATTTATTTTTTCAAATAACGATTCAGTCACTAGGCTCATTAAACATTAAAAAAAAGACAAAATAGGATTTTATTTGTCTATCATTCTATTACATTCACATTACTTTTTCTATAATACTCATTTTCAAATAATGGGACACAAACACTCCCTAAATAATGCATACAGCAAATATTCACACGTAGCACCGTTGACATGTCACGTGACAGTTCTGTTGCCGGTCATAAACATTTTAAAAAGTTTAGTAACCAATGAATTGTTGTAAAAAGTATAGAACTGAATGAGATATTTATCCCAATACTTTTGATACATTTAGCCCTCATTTGAGATATATTTAGCCCTCATTTGATAGACTTTTTTTAAAAACACTAGTTTTGATTAGTAAATTCTTGAAGATTTTGAGATTTAAAAAAATAGTGAAATTTTTTTACATATAAAATATTATTGTGTAAATATTTGATTAAAAAAGAGTGAAGAAAAAAGTTTTGAAAGAATTGGAGACAAATAAAAACTTTAATTCACATGTACTTATTTTCTTGCAAGTGAACTTTTAAGTAAAACTTTGAAGCTTAGCCCGCATGCACAAGATGCTAACTTAAAAGCATAAATGCCAGAAATTGAAAAAATAAACCAAAGAAGAAAAAAGAAAAAAGAAAAAGGCAGAGCTCCGAATTTAAGAAATAAAAATAACAACATTTTAAACGTTTAATAATTATGATAATTATGCATTCCGTTACGTCCATTATCTTTAATGTTTTATTTACAAGGATAAAAACCGCAGAGCATTATGCAACAAAGTAGACATACTTCAGGGAACAGCTTTAGGTTCACACCTGCCAGAGAAAATTACAGCCAAAATCATCAAAACATAGAAACAAAAAACTTCATTATTTACAACAATGCAAATGGCTCAAGCAGCATGATTAATGAACTTACCCAACGAAACGACATTAATTGCAGTGCCTGGGCAAAAAAGATAGAAATGATTTAACGAACTAAATAGCAATAAAATGCAAAAAATTCAACAACACAATTTGATTCATTTTTTGGGGAGAACACAGTTCTTCTAAAACGTCGTAGATGATTATATAAACCAGCATCCGGTGTATGATAAGACAATTTATGCTTACTCATTATGCCGTACCGTGCATAAATGAAAGCAGAATGCATTTGGTAATGCACTTTCCTAAGAATCAAGTACAAAGTAAAATGATTTATATATGTAGAGGAAATTACCAGGAAATGAGAAAGCGAGCAACTTAGGAAGCCAATGGATAACTACTTCAATAGTATAGAATTTACCTCGAAATCAAGTGCTAGAGCTACCCATGTCGAAGTCCATCGTGTAATCATATTCAATGGTTGGAATCACGGACGCCACAAATTTCAAGAATAAGAAGAGGTACCTAACAGAGAGATGGTGCTCAGTGTCAATACAATGAATTAACTGGCATCGAAATTACGAGTATTTTCTTTTTCTTTTAGATGATCAATGTAGAACTCACGGAAATAGACACAAAATTAAACAAGCATTGTTTCCATTTCAAAATGAAATGATATTCTTATATTCTGAAAATGTGTCCCACGCGTATGCCATTTCTACTAGGATGATTATTATTAAACTTATTGCTCATTGATCTTTGGCGATCAATAGATTTTGCCTCCAATTTGAATTCACCTAATTAAAAGCTCACAACACAAACGTTAATTGTCTGCCTGTTTGACGTGCACACAGACACGTCAAACTCAACAAGAATCATTATTTATTTTTAGTTGCCTAAAACAAAATCTTCAAAACATTGACACGTTCTCAACCATGAAAACCATCCCAATATGGTCTCTACTGGAACTTTGAATGTAGTATTCATGCCTCTGAGATAAATCATAAGTAAACCAAACAAGAGAACTAAACAAGAGAACTAACTTAAGGCTATAAATTAGATACTTAAATTCCAATGATTAAAATTGAGCAAGTTCTTTTGACTTTTTGTGACATTTGATTGTTGATGGTTTAATTTCCTCCATTACAATGAAAAGTGCTGCAAAAAATAGTCTTCTAATAATCTGATCCAAACTATGTTATGTCCATCTGATTTATGGGGGATAAAGCACAATAATCTGGTTAGCATGGTAGATAATGAAATAAAATTACTTGTCAACTTCTGGCTCAACACCTCGTGACATCAAAACATCAATGATTTTCTTCATCACAGCCCCATGACGGCATGGATGGACAGAAGCATGTTTCCCAGGCAAGTGCGGATGGTCCTCAATTGTCACCTAAAGAAACATCATTGTACAAGTACATGAAAGTAAGTTTAAAAAGTCTAGCAGAGTTAGATATCCTTAAGTCAAAGGAATGAATAACATTTGAATATAAAATTTAACAATGGAGGAAAGCAAATCTCACTGTCTTGCGTGCATGATCTTGACTAACATCTTCAAGAACAAGTTCTGGTTGCAAAAGCATCCTCGACTGCCAGGGATAATCATACAAAGTATTTGATTAAATGATTGTTGCATCTGAACACACACCACAGAATGGATTACTAGCACCCACTATGGTGCAAGGTAATCAAGCTACTTTATCATTATAGTGATATCCACAGAAATATGCAGACAAAATAATGAAAGGCACCAACCTCATCATATCCAGTGAGCCATACACGAGGAGTTTGATAGTACTTGTCATACCTGAGAGGAGGGAGCATTAGATATGCAGTGGAGCTTGAACTAAACAACCGACATAAGTTTTATGTTAACATTAACTTACGTAATGCTAACATCATATGTTCGGGTTCTTAAAATATTGTCATCATCAGGCTCGTGAGCCATGAGGTACGTAGTTGGAAGAATCGCCTACATAGGAAAAAAATTGAAATTTGAAGGGTAAATAATAAATTATACCAAATGAAAATGAGCTGAGAATACTTTAACACTATCCGATTACAACTTGATTATAAACGTAAAATTGGAGCAAGTAAACTGAAAATATCTCCAAATTTTCAATATTTTTTTATTCATGTGAAGTTTAGCACCCTTTTCCAAACAAACTTCCACAAAATATTGTTCAAACCCCATCCACATCAAACCACAACAAAAAATTAAAATTAAAATTAAAATTAAAAGACAGACAACGATTAGTAAGATTTCCTCATTAAACTAGCTAAAACAATGTAACTCAAATGTGGTATCAGGTCACTCATCATCTAAATCTCTTACAAGTTGATGAGGACATCGGACGGCATTTACTTATTTTATTTAAGCTTTATTTATTTTTCTTGGACTATTATTTAAATTTGGACTTGTATGGGCTCGGGCCCAAACTCGTTAGGGTTGCTTTACTATTTAAACCTATTTTGCATTGTAATTTTCAGTTGATGATGAATGAATAATTATTTTGGTGGCTTATGACGCATCCCTCCCCTTCTTCTATTGAATTCTTCTTCTATCATCTCCCTTAATTCCTCATTCTTTCTGAATCTTTTTTCTATTTCTATTAATCATCCTATTGGTGCTGCATCAAATTTGGTATCAGAGCCTAAACTTGGGTAATCTCTCATTTCCAATCCAAAAATCTCTTCCTATTTCTTTCCTAAGAACTTGTGGAACAGCACAAACAAATAAACTTTTAGTATGAGCAACCAAGTTATTATTTTTCCAGCTTCTTCATAGTTGTTCCCAAAAAAAAAAAAAAAAAA